TACAACGGATATTCCGCGACTACGTGAACACGGTCTTCGCATTCGAAGCCGCAATCACATTTGAACTCGTCGTCTTCGTCGTCTGCCGTCTTATGTCTTCGTCGACGTTCTCGAAGGCCTATGTCCTCGGTCCTGAATTTGACCTGAAGCACTGGTAGGGGCTGCGAATTTCTTCAAACGCGCGTGTCTCACGCCGGCTTTTTCTCGACATTTTTTTTCACATCGCTTCATTTGCTAGGTGATGACCACGGCGATGTGCAAGACCCCCTGCCACAGCTAGACAGCCACGATGACGTCGACTCCGACGATGACATCATCGCGATGGAGCTTCCAGTCGGATTCCGTCTTCAAGGGTCTCCTCCACAAAAGCTGGATCGCGCGTTGATTAAGCGTTGCGTGTTCTTGAGGCGTGGTATGGGGTGGTTCTTGGGGCAGATCAGCCGGGCAGCGCCCCCGCAAACTAGCCGCACGTACGACTACCGCGTGGTATTGGCGTACGATCAAAGCACCATCAGTGTGAAGATGCCTTTAGATGCATACGATGTAGACGAGACGAACGCAGCCGTAGGAGCGTGGGCGTTGATCGAGCCGATCGACGATTCGAATGAGCCGGCGGGGGGGTGTGAGGGTAAACAGCCACGCCGGCAGGGTGTGTGTGTGTGGGTGTTTTCATCCTTGTTATTGTGGCGTCAGTCCCCCCATTTTTCGTGGTGAGACGTGTACTACAACTTTCAGTGTATGTAGAGTGCCACACTTGTCAGTGTATTTTTTCGTACAACTACAACCATCCAGGATCACACAGGAGGGGGTGAACACCAGGGCCTTTTTCTTCTTTTTATTTATTTTCATGCCCCACCTTCCTCCTGCGACGCGTGCTGAAGTTTATTTTTATCGCGAGAAGGGTCCAGCCGTCCCTTTCCCTCGTCAACGGTGCTAACGTCGAAGTTTGGTACTCACGAGAGCTTTTTAGCTTAATTTCGCTTTCACCCGCAAATTTCGTAATGTTTTCACCTCATGGGGATTCGAACTCACGACCTCTGCGACTAGCGGTTTACGAGGATACCACTAGACCACCGGGGCGACCGGTTCGTTGCAGGGTAGTAGGGCGCGAACCCCCAACGTTCGCAACATTGACCAACCGGGATAGAGCATGCCAAGTTGTGACAAGTTCGCTAATCGTTTTCGGAGGGCGTTAGGGATATACGGACTATTTTGTCCGCACGCACATCAGCACAGTGACTTTGCGCTTCTTTTTTTTCAGTTCAGTACCGCCGGCTGTCGTGCAAGCATGTACCCCGCGGGTAGTGCAAAGCTTCCTGGCTGGAAAAGGAAATAGGGATGATGAAAAATCGTGCAATTTGCATGGCGAAAAGATAGGAAATGGCGAAAATAAGAAATCGTGCAATTCTCGTCGGGGAAAAATAGGCAATGCCGACATGAGAAATTCAGCTCACAATGGCTGCGGCAATAACAAGATTTGAGCCTCAGCTGAAATAGGGGTTTCCTACGAGTGGGCCGGCACTGCTGTATTTTCCTGTCGTTGGACGAACATGTTGCTGCTCGGGAGCCTTGTTGGTTGAAGATCTGGACCACTGGTGCGGATGCGGATGCGGCTGCGGCTGCTGCTGCACCACCACCACCAGCCGCGGCATCCTGCCGCCCATTGGCACCCATGCGAACGTTCGTATGTGTGCACTTGGGCGTGTCTGCGTGTGCGCATGTAGACATGTATTCTACAGCAGTAGCGGCGTGCGGATGCTTTAGCTAAAAAGAACCTTCAGATAGAAGGGCAACAATGATGTTTCGCGCAATGTTTCACGTGTAATAATATTTGTATTCCGAATTTTCCACGGGTATCATTTACGTACCTTCTCCAGGAGGGAAACCACGGCGTCTGTTCCCTTTGGCGCACGCCACCCCAAACTCGGATTCGACAACATCACTATCACCACTCCGGGCCGGTTGCATGGTACCGTCTACGCAAGCTCGTACTGCAAGAGTTACAGCACGCAAGACGAAGACCTCTACGCCTGTTCGTTTCTTGAGTATCGCACCTGTCGGTGTCATCGCACCGTCGCACTCAGCACCGCATCATGGCCACTGTGATTGCTTCCACATCGCACCCATCGGTGTCATCGCACCAGGGGTGCGTTCGAAATCTAGAACGAATGATTTCATTGCATATATTTCCGCACCGGTATCGGTGTTATGGCACCCGTCGGTGTTATGGCACCGGGGTGCGATAAAAATCCATGATCGGAATGATTGAAAAACCGATCGCACACCGGTGCCATCAAACGCACTTTCACGGTATGAAGAATATGGAAATATCGTGTCGTTTTCAGGCTCAGCTTTCTAATTCCACACTCCGAGTCGATTCCCGTCACCTCTCTCCTACATATAGCCTTTGAGCGTATACAGTACATGCGTGCACAGCAGTCCTTATTCCTGGAATCCCGCCTACATTGTCCGCTGTGGTCATGCTGTCTGTCGTGCTCATGTGAAAAATGGCCGCGCCCATCAAAAGTTTGAGTGGTGGGCGAACGAGCTGGTTCAACCAGAGGGTTCAACCGGATTACGTACACGTACGCTGCTCTCGCGCGATGGCGTTTATGTGCTACCGTGTTCTCAACGAGAGATACCACACCGTGGAGAGGGTTGAGCATGTGCCTCACGTGGTCCATCTAGTGCTGTCTACAGCAGTGTACTGGGTCGTTGGTCTACGCTGGGATGCAAATGAGTTCATTATTCGAATCAATCAATACGTGTATATATTTGTGTTCGCAAATAGTTTGGCCCAATAGGCGGTCTGTGTGTGTAGAGTTGAAAACAACAGTGAATGGCAACTGAAATGGTACCAGATGCACACCTTAATATCTTGCGCGTCCATCTTCAAATCATCCGAATACATGTCGCGGAAATACCCCACGCTTTGCCCGGCGAGAACAGAGGGTAGGGGGGAGCGTACAGGAGACGGGCGGAGTGAAGAACAGGCTCAGAACAGGAGGAAAGGAGCGCCCTGGAACATCCGGAGATTCACGCCGCTTGTTGTCGGCACCAGCTCTAGATTACACAGCGCATGAAAAGTTAAAGTTCGTTTTGTGTTCGGAGAAGGAGACATAACGACATGACACACAGATTTTTTTTTCTTCTTTTTCTCCCATCATTGGACTCTGTCGTCTGCCCCTCGAGCCCCTATCCTCCACTTCCACCAGCTGGACGACCCAACCGAGGTCACATAGGAGGGGGAGGTTGATAGATGTAACTTGATGGCTACCAACTTGCCTTGATGAGCCTGTTACCCACAGGGGAGATATCGCGGAAATACAGGTAGCCTCCTCTGACGTATGGATTCATTGCTACATCTATCGTTAGCAGCAGTAGACACAGATGGATTCGTTTGAAGAGATTTACAAAAGAGCCTAGACTGCTGTACATTCCGAAGAATAGACACCTGCTTGCTTCTATGCTTGTACATGATGATGCCCCAGGGCCAGGGGTCCGGGGATTCAACGGCATAGCCAAACCGCTCATATTGTAGCCGCTATTCCTCATCATGAAGAATCTTGGTGCTCCGCAACTGACTGCTGTAACTAGTTAAACAACAAACCCCGGTGTTCGGTGTTTTTCACCGTCTTGACAAACCCGTCGGTGGGTCGGCGTCAGTGGGGTTGTCGGGTTGACGACACATGCATTCACCCGAGACCGAAGGCATCGACAAAAACCTCTGCTACTGCTGCTGGTTGCGGCGCTCACAGAGCTCACAACCAAGCAACACGACACCTCCATCTGCAGGCCACAAACCAGGAACACAAAACGCTCCAGGCATGGCCTCGGAGAACAGCAGCAGTAGCACGGAGCACGTGGTCGCTGGTACCGTGTCGGCGTCCGGTTACGATGTCACAAGGAGGAAGAAAAGCACCGCACAGCTTGCTAGGGTAAGCCTGAGATTCGGTGCTTCGTGTATCGGCGGTGTTAAGGCGTGCTGCCGAACAGGCCACGAGCGTGCGAGCGAAGGGTTGTACAGTTATACAGCAGCAGCGGTGTGCCGTGGTGCCTAGCAAAGTAGTACTACGGGATGAGTCACCGACGGCAGCAGTTGTGAACCGTTTACAACAGAGCTGGGTCTACTGCTGTAGTTGTCCTTGCTACACCAGTCAAAATGCCCCTGGCTGCATAAGACCTGCTGGTGACTGCTGTAGAACCAACTGTCGACAGACTGCTGCACGGGCGACGAGTTGTCGACCGTGAAGTCTCTAAATTTACAGCAACAGCAGTGACCCCAAGGAACGAACATATCTTGTGTGCGATTATATGGTACAAGGCGCCGTGAACCATCATGCTTGTTTCTCTATGTTCACCCTAATTTTGGGCCCCTCGGTAGCTTTCGCGTCGTGACCGGCATGATGGCACGCACGAGGCAAAAAAACCGAACCGGGTCTAGTGTTGTCATTTTCAGGTCCCTCCAAGGAGCAATGTTGGTCTGTCTGTGTGCCGGTTCGTTGTTTCCCTTCTGAAATGTCTAGATGTCGCTCCGCGATCTCCGCCGGGGTCCTCTGTAGTTGTTGATGTGGACTAATTGTTTGAGTTCACCAAATACCAAATATTTTGTTTACTCTTCTTCCACGCCGGGAATATTTGGCTGTCTTAGGAACGATCACTGAGCGTAAAACAACGATACGTCGTCAGCGGCGGCACCGAACCTCCCTTCTCCGGCCGCTTCTCGAACGGGGTCCGTTACAGCACCAAGAGGCGGGGCACCTTCGATTGCGCCGTGTGTGACCTCCCGGCCTACTCATCTTCTTCCAAGTTCAACAGCGGCACGGGATGGCCCAGTTTCTACGAGGTGAGGGAGGGAAGCTGCTACCTTGGGGTCGCACGAAACCGCCCCCTTCGTGCGAACATGAGTGGTAAATACAATGCTTTGAAGACATGCACACATGTACCGTAGACGACACAAGATAACACACCCACATAAAGAAACCACACCCCCTACAGAATACGACACGCCGTATGTTTGGGCGTTTTTGACAAACCATCGAGTCATCACCCGGGCTACATAAGATAACACACCAGGTTACGCCGCATACATTCACGGGGTCCTGGGGTCCTCCTGCTATCACCGGGGTGATACAGCATCAGCCCCGTGGGTATCGCACACCCACACGACATGTGCGTGCGGGGAACACCCTGCATGGAGACATCCAACAACATGAACGAGCAGGGAGAGCAGATTGCGCCGCAAGTACCTCCGCTTCTTCCACAACTGCTTCGACCGCAGCAGTACAAGCGCCACTAATCACTTCGTTCTTTCAACGCGAGCACACTTCTTCGACGCAAGCGGCTCCTGCTAGGGCTCGTCCTCCTGCTGCTGCTGATCTAGCAGCAGCAGCAGCTGGTACAGCAACAGGCGCGAACATGACAGCCACTACATCGCCTCACCAGCAGCAGCAGCAGCACACCCCTTCAAGTGTGCGTCAGCAACGGTTCAACGCTACAAGCAGCGTTATCACCCCCGCTTTGTCACACACACCCATTATCACGCCCCCAAACACACCCAGTGGGTGTTCGGACGTGCCATCACACCCCCTGGTTTATCATACCCTGGTGTTTGCCATCGGGATTGGGATTTCGTCGCTTGGCAACGACGTTGTAAAACAAGCCAATTCACTTCGTGAGCTCGGTAACCAGGTTACCTTGGTGGTCGAGTGGATAATGTTGTGCGGGGTGGAGAAGCCCCACTCCGCGCAAGGGGAATGATCGCACCACGTTGTGTTAAATTGGTCAAGCACCCTCGAGGAAAATAATACACAGTGCTTACAACTGTCTCTGGAAGTGAAAGTGCCAGAAAATAAATCAAGTCATACGCAGCTGTTATCCGTACGCAAGGAAGTAAGCACAAGATGCCGAACACCCTTAG